CAATCCAGATCTTTCAAATCACCTTTGAAAATGAAGATCAAACCTTGTGCTTTCAACAGGAAAATTCCATAGCTTCTGTGTCCCTCCATGTTACCTTCTGGAAGGCTATGGAGGCTGTGGGTCAGGGATATGTGTCAACCAGCTCACTTTAACAAGTGTGAAAGGTTAAAAACAACAGTGGTTCCTATATAGAATATGGAGCTGACTATGTGCAGAGTTTGTCCAAAATTTAAATTTAGGCCAAGCCAAATCTTGATGCTATTCTGAGAAGTATACACAACGTACAATGGATAGAACATGGATTCCAAATTCTAGAGACCCAATGTCAAATCTGGCTTGGTTTTTAGCTCTAAGATGTTGGACAAGTTATCTGGTCTTTGTGACGTCACTATTTTCACTCATAACACATAGGATAACACCAACTTTATATGGTTATAGAAAGGATTAACTGAGATAACATATGTAATGTGCTAAAAATGGTGTCTATTTAACTTATTCACAGTTGTTCCAGATTGTCCTGAATTCTTGGATTGGAATAGTCCGACAAAGTACGCGGTCAGTCAGCAAATACTTACAGCATGCTGGCTGGGTGCCAAACACTCTGATAGCATCAGGGACACAATTGTGATGAGGCTCAGCCTTTGTCCTTAAGGGGCTTCCACTCTGAGGAGTGAGTGAGATGACACACAATTCGGCCAGCCTAGGCTGCCTGCAGGGACGGCAACAGTAATGAAGGCAAGGCTGCCCATGTTTTTTGTTAAATTCTCTCTCTTTTATACAAGCCAAAAAATTGAATTGATTCCCCTCTGCCCCATGTGGACTTGTTTATTTTGTTCCTGTGGATCAGTGGTTTTGGATAATCCAATCCATAGTAGTATAATAGCAAATTCCCAAACTAAGCTACAGTCAGGACAGTGGCACAGGATGGTTTCTTATGTGAAGCTAAATTCAAGCCATACTCCTTAGTCAGCAGTTGATTTGGCTGGGAATATCCGACCGGAATATCCTTTCCAGACATGAATGATATATGAATATATTTATGTTAGTTCCAAGAAATCAGGGAGTAGAGCACCATTATTAAGGACTATCTATCTTTAATTAAGCTTTTCAAGTCTGTTAACTTTATTTCAAACTCTGGCAGGAAGAGTTATAAGGAATTGTGGCGGCTTGCTGTCTGCGTGGGAACCTGGGGGCCTTTCAGAACTGTACTTCTTTTCACCCCAAGCAGAGATAATGTAGAGCCTGCAAATTATTCCCTTAGACTTTATTTTCTTTTATTGTTCTTATGGGCTGACCCATTTAAGTAGTGTATTATATCTAACAGGTAGACTTCCTTACCAAATGGTCTTGACTTGCCTCAATGGGTGGAAGTTCTAAAGCCAGCATTGAAGGCAATTGGACTTATACTCACTTTTCCTATAAGCAGGCTGGCATAGCTGTGACCTTACTATCATTCCTTACGATTATGATAAAAATAAAAAACTAGTCATTTCGCTTTAACTGTTTGCATTTCCAAAAAGAATGCCCGAGCTTTCAAAGAAAAAACGCTCTTAAAAAATTATATGTACACACACATACACATATATAATATATATGCACAGTCTGTATTTCTCTTAACCATTCTAACCAAATATTTGTGCATGTATAACCAAATCACATTTTCTTTTCCCCTTACGTACACTTCCATTTTACTTAAGGGAAGGAAAAAATATTAAATTATCAACTTAACTTAAAGTTAACATCTAACTTTACAAGAAGGTATTCACCCCCATGCAGATGAAAACAACGATGGAGGATCTAGCCTTCCTTTATGCCAAAAAAGCAAAAATGAGAAAAATGCAATTTTGAATTTTCTCGTTCCTTCACACTTGCTTGTTCACCCCCATTGTTTCAGTTTCTCCCAGTGCGGGTCTTAGACAACTAGCCTGCCAAAAATGAGAGCTTCCCCAACAGTGGATTCTTAAAAGATTCCTTAGCTATGTAAGAATTGCAGAACACAGAAAAGCACCTTGTTGAGATCTATTGAATATTTATACATGTGAAAATGATTAAGTGTAATCTTTGTTTCAGTATTAGTGGAAAATGAAGAGAAAGTTATCTTTGATTCTTTCTGAATCCCTTTCAGATTATCTTGTAAATGCATGTTTGTTTAAAATCAGTTGAATTCTTAAATGAGATTTTAAGTGGATTGGGGGATAAAACTGTTCTTAAAAATGATTTATTATAGTATGGAAAGAAGACACCATACTGCCTTTCTAGGCTTAGTGCATTCATTCATTCAACAAACATCTATTGAACATCTTCTATTGTGAAGCACTCTGTGAGGCAGTGGGAATCTGGAAATGAAAGGTGCACCCCTTGCTAGAGCCTACAGTACAATGGGAAGAGCAGTCGAGTGAGAAGATGTTTGTGAGAGTGCAGCAATGCTGTGACAGATGTATGCACAGCATGCACAAGGAAAGGGAAAGGCACCTGATGTATCCTGCAGGGTAGAGAGTGATCAAAGACAGCTTTCAGGAGAAGGCGGCCTCTGGGTGGATAGCTAAATGAGTTGCTGGGAAGAGTCATTACCAAAGAGGGAGAGGACAGCCTGCCAGGAGGCTGCACACAGCTCAGCACAGCTGGAGAATTAGGTGATGGGGCCATGATGTTGGGATGACAGGTCATAATTAAGATGGAAACCACGTATCCAGTGCCTAGCACCATGATTTATAGATATTGACCCTAATTCTTTAAACTGAAAGGATTCTTATTTTCATTCTCTCTTTACAACTGAAGAGAGACTCGGGGAGTTTAAGTGACTTGCCTCAGAGGCCACACACCTAACGGGTTACAGAAAAAAAAGGTTCCAGTCCCAATCTCATCTCCAAAGCCAATACTCTTTTCACTGACGTGGGGCTTAGTTTCCCAGGGCTGTCAAATGACATGTTCATATCCTGAAAGTTTGGAGGAGACACTGAATAATTCTAACGCTTGCTCTTACTTATCCTCCTCCTGGCAGAAATAAACTAATTTATCTGGGTGTGAAGTTTTGCAATATTATTTATTGAATTCTCGTGAGACCCCAACACTAGATTTGGTGACTCACAGTAGATTTTTATTCTTTAAGCAACTTTACATATATTTGCAATGGGTTCATTTGTCTACAGTAATAATTTACATTCAGATTTAATATAAATAATTTGTTGGGTTGGCCTTGGACTAGCAAAACCAAGAAGTAGAAAATAGCAGAGTAATGTAATGCCTGACGAGAACTGGATTAGACGTCCAGGTGTGGACTTAGTCAACTTCTATCACAGTTTAAGCATTTACTCTGATGAATACAATGGTTGATTTCATTCCCTGTCTTTTAGAAAAATCATAGGCTGTGGATTCAAGATCTAGCTCTAACTTGGAATCTTCTTAGTCTCAGTTTCTTTGGCTACAAAGTAGAGATGATGGCTTTGCAGGAGTATTGTGAGGATTGAGTTCAGCAATACCTGTGCGTGGTCTATAGCAGGCACTGGACAAAGGCATTTTCCTTCCCTTTATTCAGATGACACAGGCAAAAAGTGAGGCTAACTATATGAAGACTTTCCCACTTCATTCCCCCAGATTAAATACAACAGAGTTATAATTATGAGGAACAAGAGTCAGTCCATTCTATCCTCTTAGTACCAATCTACCTCAATTAAGAGACCCAACTTTGGAAATTTAGGAAGAGACTACAAAAGAAATTTAATGTTTAGAATATAGGGCAACTTCTTCTTCAGTGAGGAACCCTTTTTATAACTCACTGACTGATCTTGCCCTCAGGATTTCAGACAACAGCTCTTTCCTGAAACTTCCTGACGCCGCCATGTTTTATTACTGCTCTAGAACAATGTCCCCTCATTTTGAGAGAAAAATATGTCTCTCTGAAACTTCATCTTTAAGCCTTAATTTGACTCTCTGAAAGAAGGAAGAACCCTAATTGCCTCTCCTTCTTTTAAATCTTCAGTTAAATATATTTAATAACAATCATTCTTTCTTTAGGTCTTCTACCCTTCTGATGAAAAATGAACTTCTTTAATCATCCTTTCTGTGACCTTGTTTCTAGAACTCTCTCCATTTGTTTTCTCTTCCTCCAACACACCAGACCTGAGCACAATGCACTAACCTTATCAGCAAAGTACGATGCAACTATTTACCACCAGGAGGAGTGTATTATACTTTCATTAACAGCGTCTGTTTTTGCAATAGCTTTTTGAGCAACTTCCACTGTACTTCTGGTGCAAGCTAAAGTTGCAGTTAACTAAAATTCCCCTTCTTTTCTTTTCTTTTTTTTTAATATGAACTGCTATCTGGCTATGTTTCTAGAATCCTACACTTATGTGATTTTTTAAAATAAAAAGCATAGTAATTTTATAATTCCATTGGGCTAGTTTCAGCTTCTTGGTAAACTTGAAAATTCATTTTTGTGCATTTTTTTTTAATATCTGTCACTGTCAAAGCTCTTCCTCCTCTACAAAAGTGGCCAACATTGTTACCACTCACCTCCTCGGCTGGAGCACACTCTGCATGATTGTGGGTGGTGTCCAGCCTTAGGTCTGGTGCTTGGCCCAATTAGTGATTAAAGATTTCTCTGATTATTTTAAGGAAAACTCTGTGCGGCAGGTGCCTTGATTAGCTTGATTCGTGTCATCTCTGGGCTTCAAAGGGTATTCTCTAAGAGTAAATAGGACTGTTTCCCAGGAAACTTGTGATCTTTAAAAATATCGAGGTTGCCTTTTGATGACTTGGCTTTATTAAATTGATATATTTAACTAACCGGCAGTGACCATAAAATGAGTTACATTTAACTTCTAGCTTGCAGTATTGGCACGGGTTTAAGACAAAGCTACATAGTTTGGCTGGGAAGTTTATTGTCAAAAAGTACCCAAGATTTTAAATGTTTATCTCAATTAACATGGAGAGTGCATAAAATTAGGCTACACATGCTATAAGAATTATTCTTTTCTCTTGAAATCTCTGGCTTTTAGATTCCCAGACCTGGCAGGAACTCTTTTTGGCTCGTCTGCTTCTGATCCTAGCTGTTTTCACAAAATGCAAACACATGCAAAAACATTGTAATAAACCTCAGCATTCAGTCATGTTCGGTAAGACCTCAAAAGATGTTTGCTTTGAACTTGGTTCTAAAGATGGGCATACCTTCATGAGAATGGAAGATATCTTCTTACTCTTTATGATGTGGTTTGGCCCTTTTCAGGGTCCCAAAGTAAGCTTTGTTCTGTAAGGCACATTAAATTCATTTTTTTGGACTAAAAATTAACAGAGAAATTTCTTCCTAGAGAACATCTTGGACTGGAGTCCCTAAAGGGGACAGGGTTTTAGACCACGAAGGAAAAACTGTATTGCATCAAAGAGATGAGGAACATCATCGTGAGACCCACCCTGTCTTAGATTTAATGAAGCATTTGAATTGTGGTTTATTAGGTTGTTGGGTCTGGTATCACTTTGTGGCTTTGCTTTAACGTGCTTACTCTACTGATTGGCCTGGGAAGTTAGTCCCAGGCACCAGTGAAACGAATTCTACTGGATAAATTCTCCCTGGAGGGAGAGGGATTATTTTTTCAGTTTATGCTACAATTTTCTTGGACTAAACTCGCAATGATTGAATTTGTAAACAAAAATTTGACTGAATTTATCTAAACTGCAGAGGTTTAAACAATGGCATGCTCCGTAGTTGGTGGAATATAATTGCAATGATACCTTCTGTGAGCAGCTTCTTCCACATCCTTTCCTGCTTTGTTTCCTTTCTACGTTTTATCCACTTTCCTTAATAATGACACTGCCAAACACCCTGCCTGTCTTAGAGAGAACTTTGGACTTTGATCTCTTCTTAGACCATTTTAACTGGTGGGTCTGAAGGTCTCTTTTTGACAGGCAATTTCAATTGAATCTACTCCCTTATTGCTGTTTTTATATTCTACCTTCAGCTTATTTTTGTTCATCTATGTTTTAGGGCCATTATCCAACTCAAAACAACATAGTCAATTTTTAAAATGTCTTTCTCTACTTCATATTCAGACTAAATTTCCTATTGATCCTAAATAGATCTAAAATATGACTTTCCCTCCTGTCTCTTGCTCCTGGAATCTCCCTGATTTTGTCATTTCGAAATATTCAAAACTGTTACACAAAGTCTTTCTTTCTGTCTTCTAACCATACCTTCTACTATCTTTTGTACATTAAATTAGAAACATGCACTTCTTGTAATAATTCTCATTGATTCAGTATCCATTTTGGAGTATTTCTTCAGTGCTATGGATGGTAAAGAGATAGACGGTGTCCACCATCAGAGAGCTTTGATGATGTGCTCAGACTGGCCCAAGTCTATGCCCCTCCCCATGGGATGAGGAGCCCGCGGGGTCAAGAAGACATATCCACCTGGAGCCTGACCACCTGCTAGGTACCAGGATCCTGGAATCCCCTGCATGAGTGATCCTAAGCCTGCTCCCTGGACCTGGACAGGCCTCTTTATCCAGTCCTTTGTCCCCCACTGCTAGCTCTAGGTCTGACGAGTGGGCACAGGCAGCTGTTTTGGGGGTGTGTGGATGAGCTTGGGCATACAGGTTGGGATGTCCACACATTGCTCACAAAGCTCCTTGTGGAGTAATGTGGGGTGTGGGGAAAGGGGCAGGGATGTGGAGTCAGAAGTTAGCAGTGACTGACCCTTGCTGCTCTCTCTTTTCTGCCACATTATGGTGCAGAACTTGAAGGAATTCAAAGATTCTATTAAAAAATTTTGAAGTTGGCCTTCCAATTCTGATTAAAATTCAGAATAGAGTCTATGTAATAGTTTGTTGGCAATGTGGACCACAGTTTGGCCCCCTGTCCCAGGCCCCGCAAGTGTCAATGTTGTCTGTGAATACTTGAGGACGGTGCAGTCAGTGGGCAAAGTTTCTGATGGAGCACATGGTGGAGCACAGTGGGGGCCACACAAACACGTGGGTCAGGGAAGTCTTTGTGGAACAAGTGGTATGACAGCTGAGACCTGCCAAGAGTCAAGTCTTGCTTGGAAGAGGGCACAGAATGTACAAGGGAATGGCTTGAGGAGGGAAGGAAGGACAGAGGGAGGAGGAAAGGAGACAGAGAGACAAAAAGAAGAGATACTGATTGTTGGGACCCTGGATGTTCTTGGGGAGCTTCCTGAGGTGCCCATGGAGGCCCCATGGGCAGGGCCAGGGGCTTGTTAAGGATGCTGTCTCACTCCCTTGTCTCAACAATTACTTTCTCTTGACATTCGTCATTTGCTTCTTTCTAACTCTGATGCCCCTGGCTTTTTAAAGGGCCACTTTATTCGTCATTGGTCAACCTTCCATTTACCCTTGAATTTACTCCTGAAAACTTATTTGTATGTGAAGCCATCTGATGACTTCCTGTCACTGAAAGTGCAAGATTCTTCTAATGAAAGGGACACAGAAATGAGAATAGATAAATTAAGAAGTAGCACCTGATTTCCCCACAATCAAGACATCTTCCTAGCTATATGTTTAGAGAATTAAGCATATCTCTAATTTTCATGCTGTTCATAATATTTGGTTGGTTTTCTCTGTCTTTCATTCACTATAAACCGTCTAAATACTAGTATTAATATTTATCATAGTGACAATAATGATGACAGCCAGGGATTTGTCCTTGTCTTCTATGCTTTATAGACATTATTTAATTTATTCCCATAGTAGCCCCTGAGACAAATAGTGCTATTACAATTTACAGATGAGGAAATGGAGACCAGGAAAGTTACGTAACCAGTGTCCACGAGCATAAGTGGCAGAACTGGGCTTGAACTCACGTTTGTTTGATTCTAAAAGCTGTACTTGAACCTCTCTAGGACATCACCACTTTTGTCACCTTCTGACAGTACATGGAGTCCAGACCGGTCTTAGTCCAATGATCAGACCATATTTAGCCCAAATTAAGCAGAAGAAATAATGCACTTAAACAGAGGTAGTGAGTCTGTACATATTAATGGGGATTGTCTTTTCAAAGTGTCCTCGAGACTATAAGAAAAACTTCAGAGTTAGTCACTATAGAAATTTGAATAAGTTGAAGACCCCTTTTATCTTCCCACTCGAAGTCACTTCTCTTATTTATTTTCAGGTCCCTTTTTTTCTGTACAATTGAATATGCTTCTATGCATTTTCCCCCAGCAAACCACAACTCTCCTAGTGACACTGTTTATGGCATCAGCTGCCAGGCTAGATAATGTTCATTTTGTTTATTTGATTTGGATCTTCATTCTCCAGATAGCATTCTCTCTGGATCACTTATAAAATCAATTAAAAAATAAAAAATTATCCCCCTTCAAATAAATGTATTAAGGGTTAAAAATACACATATGAATTTAAATGTACTTCTGTATCACATTACCTTCATTTGTTATTTTTCTTACAAAGTTTACATTATTCTATAGCCCTTTAATGTGTATTCCATAATACAAAGATATCTGAAATGTGAAACTGGTCTTTTTTGTTGCTGAATGAAAAAAAAAATCAGAGACATATGTCAGAAGAGACAAACACAAAATTATTTGTGTCCATGCATCTGTTAGAGAAATATGTTTCCCTAGATGTAGAGAAATGCCTACTAATATTACTTATCTGAAAAATCAATCACTTTTTAAAATTAAGGAAATATGGGCTGAGAACACGAGAGACATAAAACCCTTGGTATTTCATGAGCCTCAGGTATCAGTTTTCCTCCATGCTCCCATCTGAGTCACAGTTCAGGAAGTTGGTCACCTTAGCCGTTTAGTCATTTTGCAAAGACACAGGTTAATTTAATTTTAAAAGAATACATTATATGTTTGGTTTAAATTATGAGGCTCACATTCATATTTCACTGACCTTGCAAAATTTATACAGGTACTTTACAGATTCCAAAGTGACATCTATTGATTTTGTTAAAAGCTTAATGGAAAAGAATTTAAAGGCTTAATTATTTCAAAAGGTAAAAATCAAAATTGCTAACTGATTTTTATGAGGTCAGTGTTATAATTAGGTCAGTTTAAGATTAAATCAGAACAATATGAGTGTCCTTTAATTACTTCTCTAGATATATAACCAAGAATTATCACTTTACATAGACCAAAAGATTTGGATCAAGAGGGATTAGGCACATGACCATGGAGATATAGCCAACAATAAACGGAATATTATATCATTTCACTCTGATTTTTTAAGTTCCATGTGGATCTTACAATTATGCCTATAAAAATGTAGTTTAATATTAGAAATGGTTATTTTAAAATATCTATTTATTGCAAAATTAAACACAAATGTAGAAAATCACTCAAATCAAATGTATGGCTTCAGTACTTAATATAACAAGAACACCACTCAGGTCAAAAAATAGTACTTTGCCAGACAACCGAGAAGTCCCATCAGTATTCCAGTCACAATCTGAACTTCCCACTGCAAATAAAAACTTTTCCAACTTTCATAGTAATCAACTTCTTGCATTTAAAAAACAGTTTTATCACCTAAATATGCATCCCTTGACATTATAGTTACTCTTGCCAACTTTCAAACATCAAATATGTCAAAGTGTTTTTTAATCTATAGGTTCCTCCTCCATCTCTTACATTTTCTTACAAGTTATCTGTTAAAGAATGCAGGGCATTTGACCTGTAGAGTTTTCCACAGTCTGGATTTTGCTAACTACATACTCTTGGTGCAATTCAACATGTTTTTTAGTCCTCTATATTTTTCTGAAAATTATCCGGAAATGGGATACAGCTCCTCTTTGGCATGACTACTTAATGTCTACTTGTTTCTCATTTTATCATCTTAGTAGCTATTGATGATTAATGCTGACACCTATTCATTGGGTGTTGCAAAGTGGTGATATTCTGTCATTTCTTTTTTGTTCATTAGGTGGAATAATTTTGTTAAGAGACCTTTCCCTCATTTACTAGTTGGTTGACCAGTAATACAGGTGCTATAGGAAAGGCAGGGTATTTGCTTGACTACTCTTCTTTACTGGTTTTCAAGATAATGAATAGGTTCTGTATTATCTTCTGAAGATAACATTTTTTTCATTAAACTTATTTGATAAATTTCAGCCAATGGTAATTATTATCATTGCTAAGCTCAATTTTTCCTATCTTTGGCTCACGAGAGTTTCTTAAAGTTTGCTTTTGAGTCCTTTTGCCATGGCCCTGGTAGTCTCCAATAGCTTCCTTGCTGTTGGGTAGTACAAGATGTTCCAAGC